GCCCGAGTCAAGTGGAGGACTTAGTTGTCGGCCCCGAGATCCAGCGCCGTCCCATCACGGAAGATTGACCAGCCGAAGAAGTCACCGCCCACAACGAATTCTCGGAGGTTCCATTGGCGGAGCAGGGAGAAACAGGGAGTTCCTCCGACCTGCTCGACGCCACACCTTCGACTGAAGTGCGCAGGTCAACTATGGTGCGGACATGCCCTGGTCACCTGAGAGACTATGTATGCTAATGTTCACCCCAAGTGACTTCTGGGAGGGGAGGAGTGTTATGTATGTAGATTTTGGGGGGGCAGTTTGAATTAACTGACCGTCAGCTGATTGGCTGACCACCACAGCTGCAAGGTATATAAAGGGAACTGTTTCCCCTGGTCAGTTGCTGGGTTCTCACCCTACAATAAAGAGCTGTTGTCACTCACTGCCTGGCTTGCTGTGTCCTCATTCACCCAACTTAACAGATCCGCTTCTGATTAAAAATTACCGGCCGATCTCCCTGCTTAATGCCGATTACAAATTATTCTCCGCAATTTTAGCGAAGAGACTAAAATTTTTTTTGAATTAGTACATCCACGGAGACCAGAATGGCTTCCTACCTCACAGACAACTGAAAGATAATGTGAGAACTATATTGAACATATTAGAATATTATGAATGTAATTCTGACAAACAGGTGGCCCTGGTCTCCGTGGATGCCCAAAAAGCTTTTGATAGAGTGAGCTGGAACTTTCTCTTTGCACAGTTGAGCGAAATGGAATTCGGAGAAAGATTTATCAGGGCGATCTGGACAGTATACGCGAAACAAACAGCGAAAATACTTATTAATGGGGAGGAGTCCGAAAAGATTTATATAAGTAAAGATACTAGACAGGGATGCCCATTATCTCAACTTTTATTTATTTTAACCCTTGAGTCATTATTGAACGAGGTTAGACAGAACCAAGGAATTAGAGGGCTAAGGATCAGAGGGGAAGAGTTTAAGCTCCAAGCCTTTGTGGACGATTTGATATTTGTTTTGGAAGAACCTTTGGAATCGGGACCAATCTTGCTCCAGGAGTTGGAGGCTTATGGGAAAGTAGCGGGATTCAAATTAAATAAAGATAAAACCAAGATCCTAATTAAGAATATGACGAAGAATCAAAAAGTGCAATTAGAGGAAGAATTAGGGATTCAGATAGTTTAAAAACTTAAATATTTAGGCATCTGGCTTTCATCCAAATGCTCAACCATTAAAGAGGATAATTACCGGAAACTACTTGGTCAAACTAAAGAAATGTTGGAAGGATGGAAAGGATTACAGTTATCATTACTAGGTAGAATTGCAGTAGTCAAGACGTATATCTTGACTAAATGGGTTTTTCCAGTTTTATTAGATACAATTTTTTTTCAATCTTTAGATCAATGTATACGTAGATTTGTATGGCAGAACAAAAAACCAAGGATCAAATTGAAAATGCTTCAAGAATCCCTTTCCAGGGGAAGATTTGGCCTACCTAAATGGGAGTTTTACCATCAAGCAGCTGTCTTAAATTGGATCAGAGACTGGATTGCTTTGAGGAGGAGAATCCTCATTTTGGAAGGCCACAATTTGCAACAGGGGTGGCATTATTATCTGAGTCAGGAAAGGCCCAAAAACATAAATATTTTATGGATCACTTCATCTGAAAGGTTTTGATGACTATTTGGGATCGAATAAGAAATAAATATTACCTGATGACTCCGATTTGGCTTTCCCCTCTAGAGGCGATGATATACCCGACCCCTGTGCTCCAGGATCTTTGAAAGATATTCTTCAGTGGTTCTGAGAACTCATCTGCCGGTTCCTTCAGAACCTTGGGGTGTAATTCATCTGGTCCTGGTGATTTGAACCTGTCTAGGGTAGACAGGTGTTCACTTACCATTTTCTTCCCTATTTTAATTTGTGTTCCTAATCTGTTTTTTGTGGTGCTGTGTCGCATAGTATCTTTATTTCAAATGTAGACCATAATACATTGACTTAAAACTACACAGGTATAAGGATCACACATTTCCAGCTGTAAATGAAATGTAATATGACCAAGTTCATAGTGAATTGTAATGAAAAACACTATTAAGTTCTGTGAATAAAATTGTAATATTAATACTAAGCTCTGTAAGCATTAAAATGCAGTTTGCAAGATACAACCTATAATTAAAATTAATAAGCTACATTGTAAAACTAATCAGAAATGTAGCATCAGTTTAGCTGTAGTATATGGAATATTAAGAACTATGTATTACTGGTATTATCTTACAGATTGCAAACTTTGTTTTTTAAATAATTCCAGCTTTATAAGTTGTATTACAAAACAGAGGCATTTTGCATGTTATTGAGAGATTATAAGCATTTTCCAATATAACTGATTAGCATGCTCTCACAGTCTTAAGAGCATTAGTAAGATAAAAATATTATGCATGCTCTGTATAACAAGCATTGTAGCAAAATGTGCTCACTATTGCTTAGCTTTACAGTGATAGAGATGTTTCATAGAGGCATTTTCTTATGCTTTCCTCTACAATGGCAATGACGAAAGCATTCCAACATATCAATATAAAACCATTCTCTATTTTGGGTCTTCTGAATGCTAGAGGTACATTGCTGTTGATATTCTGTTTCTCAGGGCACAATAGATACTCAACCTACCTTGTTCAGTGTTCAGAATATGGTTCTGCAGCACAATGCAATCCTTTTTATATCCCAAAGAATACAGGCTAACCAAGTATTATGGTTAGGATAATAAGGATTACTAGGGCAATCACCTCAGCATTAATGCCTTCTTTCATGTGCCATGGAAATTATTATCAAGACAGTTAGATTATCTGAGCCACAGGGAAACCCTTTACTGATTTCATATCCTTTGACCATTTTACCAGAGGGAGTACAGTACACCCATTTCAGATGTAGGAGAACAGCATCAAAATTTGGCATACAGAAAATCATACTCAAATCTTATTTTAGTGTTAATGTTGCCATCACTATAAAGCATCCTTGAAAGCAGATAGAAGATCCAACTTCTTTCATAGATTCCCAAGTTATGAAAACCATCTACTGCAATTGGAGAGTTGTATGCTAATCACTAAAAAGATATAGTGAAAGTAGACAGCAACTGTCAGTGTGTATTATTTAAATGTAGATTATCAAACAGGATTTATATTCTTATATTGGAAACCAATATCACAAGATCTCCTTTCAGTCTTCCCCTTTCTTCCCCAGCTTCAGCTTCCAGTACACCTGATCTGAAACCATCTACCACTATCTCAATAGTGTACCAGGTTTCCTGGGTCATTTTGTTATCACATTTAGATCTAAAGTTGAAAAAACAACCATTCATGTTGCTGTAGATTCCTGCAACACTCCAACTAAAGGGGAAACTCTTACCCTAGATTTGTACTAGCAGTAGCAATGGCACTTAGACTTATATACCACTCCATAGTGATTTACAGCACTCTCTAAGTGGTCTACAGCATATTTCCCCCAGCAATCTGGGTCCTCATTTTACCGACTTTGGAAGGATGGAAGGCTAAGTCAATCTTGAGCTGGTCATGATCGAATTCCTGACAGTGAGAAGAGTCAGCCTGCAATACTGCATTCTAATCATTACACCACCACGGCTCCCTATTCCTTAATTTGTGACTGCATTCATGAAAGCTAAGGTGGAGGTTTTTGAGATGTGTCCTACAATGGAGGAGATGAGATACAGAGAAAACTTAAGAAAAGTAGTGAATATATGTAAAATGCATTTAAGTGACATTATTTCAATCACTAAACCTTAAATGATGTAGATATAAAATAAAATAAAATTTTCCAGTTTGGTCTAGTGGTTTAGACTCTAGGCTGGAAAGCTGGCTCAGTGACATTGGATCAGTCATTCTCTCTCAGCCCAACCTACCTCACAGGATTGTTGTTGCAGAGAAAATAGAAGGAGAAAAGCATATTAGGTATGATCACTGCTTTGAGTTATTTAGAAAAATAAGGGTGGGATAAAATAAATAAAATAATAAACACAACCAGCATGGGTATCAGTTTCTTAATATTCAGTAAGCTGTTTTAAACACTAGGGCTATTAGTGGTAAGACTTCAATGAAGAGACCACAATGAATTTAGTAAAAAAAACCAGATAAAGATATTAATCATTATTACTACTAAACTTGAACAATGTTTAATCAAATCTGATGGTTCCTATCGGTAGTGAGATGACATATATTCTGATACTGCTAGTGCATTGATATTCCTGTGGAAGTATTCATTGCAATGCCAATGAATTATGAATTCAGTTACCAATATTGTATATTGCCAGTGCATAGAGGTAGTGTTTCATTTCATTATTTATAAATAAAAGGGAATATATGTATGGTGTCAAAGAGGTACATTGGTCTGTGAAAGAGTGGCTGATCCAAAGTCATTGAGTGTGCTTTCAGGGTTGAGGGTGGTACTGAATCATGGTGTAATTTAACATCTTAACATGACATCATACTGGCTCTCCAGGAGGAAGGGCTGACTCGGACTCAGTTATCTCTTCCCTTTCAGGCCAAAAATAATAAATACAACAAACTTGTGTTTAAACTCTTTTTGAAGCAAACCCCCTGAATTTAGAGGAACTCGGATGTAAAGAAATTTATGACAAGCAAAGATGTATCTTGCCAAAGATTCTCTGCAGACTGCCCAAGATCTTATCCTGCAGTTCCTGTACCTCATCACTTTGATTTCTAGCTTTGATTTCTAGCTGCCTCATGATTAATGGATTGCATAAAACCATAGATCGGTTTCTAGGAAGGGCCAGGAAACAAGTGAGACAAAATAAATACCTTGCTCTTTTCTTACACCACTCCATCAGGGTACATAGTTATGGAATTCCAGGCATGTTCACTATTCCTATAATCCAGCCTTTCACCATTCCTATAATCCAGCCTTCCACAAGGTGAGGTCTACGTGATGTTAGTTATTCCTTCTAACAGGGTACGTGTGTCCCTCTTGTTCTTAGACTGCAGATAAAACAAAAAACTCTCTTTTGGACATTAAAGAAGAAATGATCTCGGCTACCATGCAAGTGCCACCATTAAGTCAAGCCCAAGGTCAAGAACTGCCAGACTGCATAAAATCTGCAAGAGAGACACGGATTTCTGACAGTAAGTGCAACTTCCTTTAAGAAACTGGAGTGGATGACAGGTGCTATTAAAAAATATTTGTGCAGTATATCTACCAAGATGACATATGGAGTATGTGGAATATGGCTGCCAATCAAAAGACCAAAAAGCAGGGGGAAATAAATCTTACTTAAATATTAAAAAGTATAGAGAATCTTAAATATAGGTAGTGTGAGGCCCAAGAACTAAGAATGACACATGGAGTTACTTCTGATTAGTTTCTTTATTGTTGTTCATCTACAGACAGAATCTTTCCAGATGAAAGTAATCCACATAACTATAGGTATATAACTATATTATCCACATAACTATAGGTATATTCTGTAAACTACTAAGAAAGGATTGTCTTTGCCCTCTTCCTGCCTCCGAGACATCAAAGCTGTGCTGCTTCTTAGCTCTCTTGTAGGCAGCCCCTCCCTCCTAGGATTCCAGACTACAGTGCCTCAGGTTTACAGAGGGATCTCATGTTTTGATTCAAAAGAAAAGAGAAGACATTACTCACACTAGGCACTTTACATATTTTATGCCATTTGATCATTATTGGAATATTTGTGGCTACAAAACTGATAAATCAGGGATCCCTAACCCCCGGGCCATGGCCCACTACTGGGTTGTGGCCCATCAGAATCAGGCCACACAAGTATTCCCTCTCCCTTCCCCACTGCTGGCCACCAAGCTGGAAAGGTTGGGGATCCCTTTGATAAATAACTAATCAACATAGAGGATGTTCACACAAATATCTGTCAGTGCCAGAATTTAAGCACATGGGAAGCCTTTTTCTACGCTAGGCTAGGTCAGACTAGACTAGACTAGACTTGATTTGAATTGTATTTTTTATTGGCTAAGTGTGACTGGACACACAAAGAATTTGTCTCTGGTGCATAAGCTCACAGTGTATATATAAACAGCAAGTAATAGATCATATATCATAGTTACAATCATTAACCATAAGTTACAAAAATAATTGATAAATCATAAGAAACCAATAGGAGAAGATAGGAAAGATGAGAAGATGAAAAAAGATGAAAAATAAGAAAATGCTGTGGGAATTAAGTGTTCAGCAGAGTGATAGGATGGGGGAAACCTTGTGTCTAGTTGTTTTGGCATATAATGCTCTACAGCGTCATCCTGAGGGGGAGAGTTGAAATAGTTTATATCCAGGATATGAAGGCTCTGTAGATATTTTCTCAGCCCTCTTTCTGGTTTGTGCAGTATACAGGTCTTCAATGGAAAGCACACTGGTTGCAATTGTTTTTTCTGCAGTCCTTCAACTATCTGTTGAAGTCTGTGCCTGTCTTGTTTGGTTGCTGTGCCAAACCAGACAGTTATTGAGGTACAAATGACAGACTTAGTAATTCCTCTGTAGAAGTGTTATCAGCAGATCCTTGGGCAGTTTGAGCTTTCTGAGTTGATGCAGGAAGAACATTCTTTGTTGTGCTTTTTTAATTATGGTTATCATATTGTCTTTGTATTATCTAGATGAAATCTAGAATGTGAACAGGGTGTATTGTACTCTGAAGAACTACTATATTAGCCAGTATAGGAAGATTTTAAAGTACTAAATTGACCTGGTCTAGGCAGTGTAACATATACTTCTGCAAATCCAGAGAGGCAATAGAGTGAGTTTAAAGCCATTAAAACATCCAGGACAGTTAACAGATAATCCATCATTCTTTTACTAAAATGATCAAAATAATAGCTTCTTTTTCTCAAAATGGGGCCAATAGTACTCTTCTTAAATTTACATTAACTATTTTTTGTTTCAAACATTCCCAGGTTCCATTTCTTTTTACTTGGTTCTAATAAAATATAAATATTTCACTGTAGAAAGATTAAATAGTGATATAATACAGGTAATCCTTGAGTTCAGTTAGCGACCATTCAAAGTTACAACATAACCTCCCAAGTAATTACCCCCCCAAGTATTTATGACACAGTCCCGAAATTACAAATGTTGCAGCACCACAGCAGTCATTCACACTTATGAACAACTGCAGAGGCACTTCAATATTTGCCCTGGCTATTCCCCCCACCCCCGGGTCTCTACAGGAACTCCACAGGAACTGGCCTGTGGAGACTCTTCCTTGCTATGATTTAGCGAGCCATTGATTCCTTTGCTTGATTCAGTACATTTGCAGAGAATAGAGGCCTAAAGTATTGCAAGATCATGCAACATCAGTAGCGCAAGATCTCGCTCTACTGATCTCACGTGATCTCACACTATAGTACTTTAGGCCTCTGTTCTTGGCAAACCGAGGCCTACACGAAATCCGTGGCAAAAGGCTTTGCAGAGAGGCCTTCCGTCCATTTGCAAAACCTTTTGCCGCTGGTACAGGCCTTTGTATGCTAAGAACTTGCCTCTGTTCTCAGCAAACCAAGGTGTCCACCAGATGCGGCTGGAAAGCGTTTGCAAACTGACGAGACTTTGGGGCAGCAAAATTGCATTGCTTCAAGTCTCATCATCTTGCAAACGCTTTTTGTACTGAGACTGGAAGCTTCTGGGAGCCGTGATCTCATATAAGATCACAGTCACCAGAAGCTTCCAGTCTCGGCTCAAAAAGTGTTTGCAAGCCAATGGGAGGTTTGAAGAAATGTGATTTCACTGTCCCAAAGTCTGTCAGTTTGCAAACGCTTTTCATGCCGAGACTGCAAGCAGGCAAAGGAACCATGGCAGAGAGGCTGGAGAAGAGACAGCTTGATAGATCTTCACAAGGTAAGTGACCTGGCTCGGTAGGATGGTGGGGGGAGAGCAATTGTGGGGACCCCCAAGGGAGGGAGCATGAAGTATCTCAGTGGGTTGTAGGAGGCCTTGGGTGGTCTGAAGCATGTTCCATCACTAGGCCTAGTTCCATCACTAGGCCTCCCATGGTTTTCCCCACTCTGAGATACTTCATGTGTACTTAACGACCTGCGCATTTGATTAGCTAATGAGTGGGCGAAAGCAGGGAGTGATCATGTTCATTTGATGTGATTTGCACATCCCAACGAATCCTTGGGTTACAAATGTAATTGGCAGGCTCCATTACATTCGTAACTGGAGGATTACCTGTACAAACAAAACCTTACCGAATTAAAACATTATTGTCACTTCTCAGTTAAATCAATTCATATAATTAAGAACAGGGGTGTCAAGCTGGCAGCCCGCAGACCGGGTGTGTCACGCCCAGGCCACGCCTACCCCAGCTCTGCGAATGGGAAAAATGTCGTAAAATGTCACATGATGACAGTGACGTGGCGAGTTTGATACCCGTGATTAAGAATTCAAATGTTCAGCAAAGTCAGTTTTAATTAGTATTAGATTCTGTCAGGACAATACCATTCTGTTAGAATTTAGTAGCTAGGGCAGGGAAGGGTTGGACAATGAGTAAGAACACAAAGTTATAGCTAATTGGCTGAAGAGAGGTGGCCACTGCATGAGGGAATATGAGTTGTGATTGGTTGCTGAGAGTAAAGGGGCAGTTTCCTTATTTCCTGCCTTTTTTCCTCTGTGTGCTCTCTGTGATTTTCCTGATGATGTTCCTGCTCCTGTTTGCCTATCTTATTTATTGTGAATATATTTATTTATATATAACTGGTTCAAGTCAGCATCTCTGATTCCATTTGGACACCGGCTGTGTAATTCCCTGACACATTCCTTATGTATAATAAGCAGCTAAAATCCACTGCCCCAATTTATGTTTCAAGCTCCTCTTTGAAATTCCTTTTTATTCATTTTAAGCACATGGATAAATGTGTCTAACACAATGAGAGGAATGATGAAGAACTTTAGTTTTTCAATATTTTGTGATAGTAATTTTGCAGCTATGAAAAGAAATCTCATCTGGTTATGTTGAACACATTTATGCAAGTACTATTTATTTCTTGAATGAATGGTATTTAAAAGTAAAAATTGCTAAAAAACTGTCAGAATCTAGATCTTGAGGAATCCTACAACAGACAAATATAGTGGACATTTTAAAATTAATAATATTTTTTCTAATAGATAGTTTTGCTAATGGCTATAGAATAACTCAGGGTGTCAAACTTGCATCATCATGTCATCACGTGATGTATCATGACTTTTTTTGCCTTTGCTAAAACGGGTGGGTGTGGCCAGTGTGTGACGCATCTGGCCCACAGGCTGTGAGTTTGACACCCCTGGAATTACTTATCTGGGTAGAAATACTGAATACTGTATAGATAATTAATGTGGGGAGGGGGTTGTTAAAATGTCAATGGAATGGATTTAATCTTTCCACCTTAAGTTTTTATTGCATAATTGTCCTATTCAGATAAATATATGGGAGCTCAAGTTGTTGCCTTCTATTTCTAATATACTTATATATACCTAAAACTTTACCATAGAGAATCTGGTACTGAGGAAAGAATAAAAATGTTAGATGCATTTTTTCAACTGTATGTTTCCCCCCACCCCAGGTCCTGTGGTTTTATATGCTGTGATGAATGCTGTACCAGTGTTACGATGGAAGGAATTTATGAGGTACCTGGGACTGAGTGAAAATACAATTGACAGGATTTTTTTGGACCATCAGCATAGGCGGGATGCGCAATATGAGACACTAAAAGAATGGAGACTATTGGCAAACCATGACGCTACTATGGAGCGCATCAGTCAGGTTCTCAGTAAAATGGACCTAAGTGGATGTATTGAGGATATTCAGGAAGCACTGGCCAAACAGTGAGAGACATTGTATTATTTGCTTCCTTTCCAAAGAGAACTCACAGAGGCAGTTACTGTATCTTCAAGTTTGTTTTCCCTTTGTAACATAAATAGAATTTTTAAAATATACTGTGCATCTCTTAACATATGGAATACAGTTTTAATAAATTAAGGTGTGTGTGTGTGTGTGTCTACATGTGTGTGCACATGAAAGAGAGAGCGAAAGATCTCTATCATGTTGTCCTGGTCTTTTTCCCAGAGATGTATTTGGACCAGTTCCTTTGTTAGCCTTCTATTTTTTTAAAGTTCTTTTGTATATACCACAGGGAAAATGTAGGCAATTTCATCAGATGCTTTGTAGTTTAAATGACACTTTGTAATATAACAGTTACCTATTAAGTATTCATCCACCATAAAGCAAAACTCATGTTTGTTTTGTTTTTTAATGCACATCATTACTTTTGTGTACTACTTACTGTATATATTTCATGTACCCAGTATACTTATGAAAGAATATAGATCTTTATATTATAGATCTTAATATAAATCTTAAACAGGGAAGGAAGGAATATATTGGGGGTGGGGGGAACTTTCAGAAAAGATTATTCAATTTTAAGGAAGAGGAAAGAATAAGAAAGAAACATGAAAGAACACTACCTTGATTTTGGATCATGTAAAATGGGTTAGAGAGAAACTCTGGCAAGTTTCAAGATTTTGCTTTTCTTCCCTACAACAATAAAGAACATTCCTGGAATTCTGCTGTGCCTGTTTCTTAAGCTTGCTTATCTTGAATAACTGCATGCACACTGTTTTCATTAGGAAAGCTAACTATAGGGTACACAATACCCCATATCTAGGATTGGTATCTAGGATTTTTCAGACTGGAGACACTTTACAAATCAGCATATACAATTAGTATTAAATCCACGAGAGAGAGAGAGAGACAGAGCGTTATGTATTATAAATATATTAAATATAAATATATAATATATAATATAAATCTTGGGAGTCCTAGTGGACAATCACTTAAATATGAGTCAGCAGTGGGCTGCAGCTGCCAAAAAAGCCAATGAACTCCTAGGCTGCATTAACAGAGATATAGAATCAAGATCACACTAAGTGTTAATACACTTTATAATGCCTCAAATCTGATTAGTCCTCTCTATTCTAAAGTCAATTGATTCCATGGAAATAGCAGTTCTGAATCTCTTTTTAACTTCTTTGAGTGGCCACAGGGGAATTCTTGTCATTCAAAGGATTCCCCTGAAGAATATGAAAACACCTTAGAGAACCTGAGCACCTTGAAGGAGAGGGCCTGGAATCCCAGTGAAATTTCAAAGAGGTGCCCTATTTTTATCTGTATTACCATTGAGGAACTGTCACTTCTTTCCCAGAACACACAGCTGAAAGGCATGGTGAAAGCCTTGCAAGTTGGTGGCTATTACAGATAGAAACACTTCTCTTCTGACAGTGAAAGACCTACAGGGAAACTAGAGCAGGGGTCTCCAACCTTTTGGACCTCAGGGACCAATAATTTTAAATCCTGTGGACCACTGGGGGGGGAGGCTCAGCCACCTTTCGGGCCAACCTGTTTGCTTCTGGAAACCTCTTTTGTGTTCCTTCTCTCAAGAAGCTTGGTCAATCTGAGTGAAGGAAAATGAAGACGAGCAGACTGACGGTGGCTTGCTGACATTGGTGGTAAAGTCAGTCCCATTTTCCAGAGCTGTGGTAGTCACAGGACTGGCCCTTTAGTCATCCTGGAGCTGCTCCGGGATGACTAAAGGGCCAATTCTGTGACTACCACAGCTCTGGAATATGGGACCGGCCCATGGTGGGGCTGGAAATCTCCATCATAGGGGGTGGCACATGCAATGTACAACTTTGCAGGTGGTGCAACATGCAAAAAGGAGTGCAGCACTTGCTGGCCGGAACAAGATAATGGTGCTGTTGCAGAAGGGAAGGGGGCGACCCAAGCGGGCTGAAGCAGCAGTGGCGATGGCTGGAAGGTGCGGGAGCGAAGCGCTACTTGCATTTGCGTGATATCAGCATTCCGCCTTTGCTGCGGTATATTTGCGCCAGCTGGTGGCACCAAGGCAGTCCTTGTCTTCTGCCACTTGGGGCTCAGAGCAGTAAACCGCATACAGGAAGCACTACAGCTTTTTTCCATTTTATCATTTCTTCCCTACATTACAGTACACTGTTCATAACTGTCCTATTTTAAATTTAATCAGCATCAACGTAGAATCTTAAGCAGTGCACCATTATTATTTTTTGCACAACATAATCAAGGAAATGCAGCAAAGAAAGCAAAGCTAACAAATCTCAGTCCCCCCACTTCATGCTAAATTTCTTTTAAAAATTTCTACTCATTCCCATTTTAAATGCATAGGCATATTCATGCCTGAGATTTATCCATCAATCCAATACGAAGAGAAGTCTTTAAAGCCCGGCGTTTCTAAATCTTTGTTTTTAAATCGCACAGGCAAAAAAAAGGTTGGAAGCAAATGGAGGACTTGGGAAAGTAATGGTTGGGGGGAGGAAATCAATGAGAAAAATTGAGATGTCCGAAAGGGTCGGCTGATGTAAATAATAATAATTTTTAAAAATCACAATCAAAGGGGATTTGGGCAGCTAACACTGGAAAAGCCAGCTTTGGAAAGCGCCAGCTGGGTACAAAAAGAGGAAGGGGTCTTTTTTTCCCCCCAGAAAGAGCCACAGGGAAAGAAAGGGAAAGAGCCAGTTGGCTTTGTCTGGAAAAGTTGGGCAAAAGATACCTCAAGGATATTTCCAGGAGGAGGAGGAGGTTTCCTCCTACTCCTGGAACCGCTGCTGCTCTTCTTCCTTTTCTTCCTGGCCGTAGCCACCCAACCTCTGAAGATCCAGTATTTCCACCTCATCCAAAAGGCTGGCTGGGGGCAGAAGGATAGAAGGGGTGGTGAGGACTTGGTGGGGTCCCCCTGAAGTGGGATGGCTTGAAATAGACGAAGGGCTCGGCTTGGCATACGAGAGCTGGCGCTGGGCTCGACCTGCCGGCTGGAGGGGAGCTGCTGCGGGGGACTGATGATGGGGCGCTTGGGGCTTGAGGCTCGGAGTGGTAAACCGCGTCCAGAAAGCACTACAGCAGAGAGAAGCAGCCGGAGTTAACCCTGGCTTTGCTGTCCATTGGAGACGCTAGATCGGCCTCCTGCAAACTCTCATCTCTTGAGGAGCCTGGGCAAAGTTTCCCGTGCCTCTTCAGCGAGTGCTCCTCGAGACGAGAGTTTGCAGGAGGCCGATCTAGCGTCCGCAACGCTTTTGAATCCGAATTTATGTGAGCAGCAAAGTTTAAGGGGAGAGACAAAGTCGCGGGTTAGATCCAATGCCGGATCCCCTCGGATATCTCTATGGATGCGCAACTGCGAATGAGATGCGCGTCCGCCGTTCCTGAAGTATTTGGGCGAGGCTTTTATGGGGAGTCGCCAGTAAAGGACGACACTTCCGGGCGGTTTGAACGGTTAGGCGGGAGGATGGCGGCGGAGAGGGGCTGCGTGGAAGAACCGAGGCCGTGGCTCCTGGAGGCGGTCCCGGCCCCCTTTTCCCCCTGTGAAGAGGCCACGAGGGGCCCAGTGCTCACCCCACCTGCCGGTTTAGAGAGCTCCAGAGGCCGGACTCGCGGCTTGCAAGGCAAGCAAGTTTTGAACCCGTAGCCGGGCGGGTTCAGTTCAGTTCAGTCTCAAAGGGATGAGAAATATAAGAAATATATTTGTGAGCTGAACGCCTGGGAAAAAATAATGGCTAGAATAAAGGTTTATTAGTTAGGCTTCATTGCAGGCGATGCATGCTAAGCCTGAGCTGCAAATAAAGCATGCAGTAGCCAGAGATGATTTTTTTGGTTACAATTTTTGCTGACTTAAAATGTCAAATGGTCATTGTGCAGAATGGGACTGCAGACACGTGTTCTGGAGCATCAGCTGCCTAAAAGAGAGCTCTAAACTATTACTGTTTTCTACACATGGGAATTCTTAAATCAATCCAATAAATGATAGCTGTTAAATTTTATTTAAAATTTAATTAATTAATTTTATTTTTCTTATCGTATCACACATTTTCCTGAATAAGGCAGAAGATTTATCTTTGAAACTATCATTTATGGGCAAATTTCTAACCATTAAATAAGATTTCTGCTCTAACTATGTTTCTCCTTTGTATGACTTAAAATTGAATTTTAAAAAATCATTTATGCAGTATTTATGTTATCGCATCTAAAAAGACACCTCAATTCAAAATGAATTACAGTACTTAAACCTCTTTAATAATTTCTAAATTCTGCTTTATCGAACTAATTCATACTCTGGAAAACATTTTGTTCTATTAGTTGATAAACAAAAGCATTATGTGATATATTTATCTGTCAGATTTATTTTGCATCCCTCTAACAACTGGTTATCATAGATTCAGGATAGGCACTTTTGTCAAAACTAAAGGATACAGTATATGAAGTGCCTTGTGAGTTAGAGATTGCATATTTACATGTGCATACATAGAAAAAGAACAAATGCACACAAGGATACCATACCTTGATGCAACTGCAGTTGCTCAGAAGATACAGATGCTAGCTAGTTCAGCTGTAGTGGAATCTTTGGAGAAAGATTTTTTTTCCACAACAGCATTAACCAGGATCATAAAGAAGGGTGCCAACTAAATTATGCAGCTTTAATTATGTCTGTCTCAACATTCCCACTTTGAGTCACATTACCGTTTTTGTCCTGTTTCAGCACTGAGAAACAGCAATTGATTCTCTTCTATAAATTTAGTGAGTTTTCAGTTGGATGGAGGGAAGAGTTTCCCTAGGACTTTGGGAAGTGAGTTCATACTTTCTCACATGAAGTTTAGAAGAATTTCATACCAAGCCAGCACTTTTATGTTAATTCTCTTTAAATAAATTGTTCAGAAAGTGTTGTGAGCCTACTTGTGACTTTGCTGTTTCCAATAATATATTGGTTGTTGTTACTTCTAGTTGCTTGCATATTAACAATTTTCTGTTGTTTTTCATTTGTAATTTTGTAAAATGGAGGCATTATTTTTTTCTCAAGGCATCTCCATTCAAACAGTTTCAATAATTCAAATAATAATACATTGATAAAATCACCATCAGTCAATTGCAAAAGACAGTTTTATTTGGAGCTTTACATCCTGTGATACCCCTTAACACTGCCAAACAAGATCTGCCTATTCCAGGTCCTTGGGAGGGACTTGATAGGTGGACAAACATGCCAAATCTAATCTATATACTTGGTTCCTGCGCGACCAACAAAAATATTGTTCCCCTAAAACCTCTGATATTTATTCATATTAAATAGTTCAAAAACTGCATAAATTTCTGTGAAAAACAATTAAATGTTATCTGTGTTATCATATCAGTAACTCACACTGATTACCAGGAAGCCTTGTCATGTAATACTGTAGTAATTCTCAGCTCCCATTATTTTCTATGGATATTTATGACTATCCTATCCAAGGAGCAAAAGTCAGTTCTTATTGATCTTGCAACTATAAACTATAATTGATTAGTTTTTAAATCACTACAACTTTTTCATATTTGTTAATCCCCTATACTGTGTGTTCTACCTACAGTAGCAAAGTGCTAATGTAATGCTGGATTTCCACTTAGGACCATGTCAAAATGTGGATGTTCCTGATGACAATAGTGACAAACTATTGTTAGCAAACTGGGGGCTTCCCAAAACAGTCCTGGAGAAATATCATGATTTGGGA